GTTGGAGCCTTGGGGAACTATCTACCAGGGTCATCCAATGTGTGTCCAGTGGAGGCTCATATGTAGTGTGGGGTAATCTATTGGTGACACATTGGATGATCCGGGCAGTAAATGTGCGCTTTCACACGACCAAAGAGAGCAAGCTTGCCACTCTCCAGAACTTGCCAGGAGAGGAATGCTGGTGAAAGCAAGCTCTCCGCCAGCCAGTACAAGTGGGGTGTCTCAAATTTGCACTAACTGGCTGCCCATACGGGCATTTTGGTGGCTACTAGCTACTGACTGTCCTGCATCAAGTAATGCCCATACTGCCTGGTGCCTCGTTTGATCTCCTTTTCAATCCGACCGAATCTTCGCAATCGAGCCTGGGGGGCCGGACGTAAGTGGCCGAACAACGGATGGACACCTTGAATTGTGGGGATCTCCTGGCCTGACACACCATGGCAAGAGAGGTTAAGTGACCTGAACTAGGACCTTACTGGGGTACCTATGGGATAGGCTATAGGGTCCTTCAACCTCTGTTGGTGGCTCTGAAGTTTGCATCCAAACTGCTAAACAAAGCAATCACCGGCGATGCGCAGCTTCTCACGTCGCTTGGCCACCGCACCGTCACGCTCGCCAGCTTCCACATCGCGCCGAGGCTCTACCTGCTGCAGCTCTTGAGCTTGTGCCGCCGAAAACACCACTGTCCAGTCGACGGATTTCTGGGTGTGCTGCATCTTCACTACCTATTTCACCTGGTTTTCTATGGTCACTTTTAAGGTCCTCGTAGGAAGTCTTCAATGTTTGTTCACCGACATGTTTTCCCACTCAATGTTCTCCCCAGGTTGAGGTCTGACATGTTTGTCCATGCTAAGACGGCAGGTCAACAGTGTCTTTCTTGTCCGCTACAGCTAGCCCCCATTCATACAATTGCAGAATTTGCTAGCCAATATTGATTGGGATTAATCAGCTGAAGCCTTTTGATGAGTTATATGAATTATATGTAATAAAGTTAGATAAATACTCATGGAGTCGGGGGGGGATCAGGATGGGGCCTGTGGGCCTCATGCTTCGACGCGTGACTCATCACGCAGCATCCACGGAATTACTTGGCGCTTGGCGCTTGACTTTCCAACATGTCAAGGATTCAGTTGCTGTCCTTGACTGGATACTCCCAGTCAGTGGATGCAGTCGGAGCCTTTAACAAGAACAGGTCAGGTGGAAAGTTGGGTTCAAAGTTCACCTTTATTCTTTTCCTGGACAACGGCTCGGTTTGGACATCTTCCAGGCCAAAAGGGATCTAGCAATCATCTATCACCCCTTGGCAACTAGAGAAGGTCTCCATGACGTCCCACTCCAGGGAGTAATTCACTACTCGACCATGTCACTGTCGTAGCTGGCAGCTTGCCAGCTTGCCAGGTTGTTTGTTGTGCTGTTTTGCACATGTTTGACCCAGCTAAGCCGTGACCCCTACCTCATATCAGGCCACACACATGTCGTACTTGCGAAGATGGACTCACCGATGGAAACTGAATCCCTTTTGCCAGGTACATGGTCAAGTACAAAGTCCTCGTCCTGGTCATGGTTCTAATGGTTTGGTTTCTCATGTCGTTGCCCCGGAGGGTGTGCTGATGCTGGGGGAGATGATGCCCTGGGAAGCATGTCATGGAACGCAAAGGCAACAGACAGTAACTAACGCTCAGACCAACGTGTCGCGTGTGGAGTGCAAGACAGCGAGAGTCGTTCGGAAGACGCGACATATCGCATGCGAGCTGAGATTTTTGGTTCTGTCAAGATTTATGACAAAGCATCTTGGCAGCACGTGGGTCTGAGGTCGACTTTGAAGGTTGGCACTGGGGGACAACTGGTTTGTAGGTTGGAATGGCAGAAGGAGCAGGTGAATCTTTGAAGGAGCAGGTCCAACACAACTCATTTCAAGAAAGAGAAGGCCTGCTATTTGGGGGGTGTAGACCCAATATCCCCAATATCCAGCAGTAGGTAGGAGATGGGATGAGATGGGGATTACAAGCACGCACCTTTGAGATTCGCCTGCTGACACGCATCACCAAAGCATTCAGTTCATCGGGGACAATCTACTGACTCGATTTTAGGGTATTACTGACACTTGAGTTTCCCTGCTGATTGCGAGCCAGAGATTTAGCATGTTGTGTTTCTTCAGTTATATAATGCAAGTGAGTGATGATATGAATCAGGCCAGAGTACTAAGTTGGTGTGTGATGTGTGTGTTTTTTTTCTCACCGACGAAAGAAAGCAAGAAATGTAAAACACTGAAAAGGACAATATTTTGGTTTTCCTGGATCACGGAGAACGAAGCTTCCTTTCTAAACCCATCTTCGAATGTGTGAAATTGCTTTGAACGTGGGCTGTTTTTTCACTGGGCTGCGGAACTCACTGGTGAATTCCTGTCTCTTTTGGCGGCGCGTTGCCTGTGCGACCCAAATCCATGACTGGTCGCTTAAGAGCTTTTGCGAGCTTTCGATGTGGCTCAGGTGTTTTGTTGCAGGAGGGATTTGTTTTCATCATTGTACATCATACACACAAGACGTGAATGTGGGTCAAGTTAAGACTGCCCAAAGCATGCTGCATGGCCATACTTTCTCATATGTACTTGTTTTGAGGGGATGTGGGATACCTGGAGAGATTCTCATCGGATTCCTGACAGGCTAACCAGACCATTGTGCTGGTGTGTGTGTGTGTGTCTTCAAAGGCACTATTGGACCAACTGTGTCCCTTTTGAGACCGCCACAAGCGAACGATGAATCGATAGGCTCGATAGCTGTTTGTTTGACCCATTCTCAATCTTTGAAGATCCACAGTGGTTGCTTTAGCTGAAATCCCAAAAACAAACTGCCCAAACACTCCATGTATGCTATATTTGCCTATCCCAGACACGACACATGGGACTGGCATAGGACTGCCGCCCCATGGACCCCCCTAAACCACCCCAACTGATCGGCATATATGGCAGTCGCATTCGTCGTGTCTGGGATCCTATATTGGGGTCCTTGAATGTTGCGGTCAATGTAGGCGAGCAAACCAGGAGAATCCGAACCCCTGAGATCTACTCGCTTCCGCTCTCCTCGCGCTACTCGGGTCGAGGCCTCCCAAACGATCCGGATGAGACCGGTGACGAGACGGTGGCGCCAGCGCTGCGAAGCGGTGACGAGACGGGGCAGATCGATGAGCCACAGGGAAGCGGAGACAGATCGGATGGAACATGTGTGTTGTTCTTTATTTGCTTAGTGGTTCCCTAAGGAATGTGCAAGTCTTTTTGAGAGTTCCCTCTCTCGTTTGCCTTTTTTTTTGTGGAAAAAAACGTTGCTTCGTTGTCGGCAGCCAAGCGGTATACCTAGTCTGGGGTCTGGGTGAGCTGTCAGAGGGTGGTCCCGGGCTACGTCTTAGTCTTGCGTCAGAGGGTGGTCCCGGGCTACGTCTTAGTCTTGCGTGCGAGCTCAGAAGGTAGGGTGACATGGACCAAGCTGGCAAAGGCTGGCATTGATGGGACAAATACATGAAAAGACAAATTAAATACAACATACGTACATTTGCATGCATGTTAGTCTTCAATATGCTGTTGATGTTTTCTCCAAGTTCTTGGAGGTGTGCAAAAAGCAAAGAAATTCCAGTACGCGTCGTACAAAGTGTTTCTTCTCCCCCCCTTATCGTGGGGCCCGTGGGGATCAAAACATGATGTGTATGAGGGGTCCTGGGTTAAAGCATCACGGTAGTAGAGTTCAATAGGTAAAGCTCCATGTGTTTGACGCGAACATCTCCAGCTTTCATCCCTTGGAACGCTGACATGATGTTCGCATTGGGCCAAAACGGTGGACCGGCGGGCGCATGCTAGCGCCACTTGGTTTGGTCCGGGCCATTTGGTGAACACCTCCATTTGTTGGGGCAGATCTTGGTTTTGCATGGTTTTGCTATGTTTTCTTTAGGGTGATGCTTATTTTCCCTCTGGGTGAATCCCTAGTTGATCCCATTTGTTATTTGTTTCTGGTTTCTTCAGCAAGTCCTAGTTATAAACAAGTTTGAATCCTGATGGACTTGGAGACTCAAGCAGAAAGTCTGGCTTCGACGCTCCAGCCCCGGCCTCCAGTTTCATCACGCGCAGCACGCCCGCGCCACAGCTTGGACACAGTCTTTTGGAAGATGTTTCGAGTCTCTGTGTACCAAAAGGTTTTTTGTTTGGAGCAGATGTTTAGAACTTTTGGCAGGGGATCTTTCAGAAAGAACTTGGTCGACCTCGACCGTAAAGCAAACGAAAGGAAAAGGCCGGGCCGGGGCAGACACGCAGACCTTTAATTTAGATTCAACAACAATTAGTGGTTGCAGCCGTGCAAACCCATGTTGATCTATATGAGGAAACCCACCAAGTTCTTGGAATTTTAGCCCAACTAGCTCAGCTCATCTGAACCGTTTTGTCCAACGCCAAGTGTGAGCTTGCGAGGGCGAGGGCTTTGTGGCCCGATGTAGGTAGGCGCAGCGTGTCCCACCGACCGCGCACCAGACTCCAGCGGCACACCGACCGCTCTCGAGCGCCGCATGAAGAAAGGAGACGGTCGGGAGAGCACCGCGTGAAGACCCGGCATTTGGTCGGGTGCGAGGAAAAATGCTTGGGGTGGTGCATCCCAGGCAGCCTTAACCCAGACCACTCCATGGTTGATGTCAGGGATCAATGCAATGTATTCTAAATATTCCAGTCCCATGGAGCAGTTTGGGTACTGCTTGGGCGTGGGTTCCACCGAGTGTCGCAGTGCGGTGACGTCTCAGGTGACGTCTTGAACTCTCAGCAGTCTCGGTAGCTTTTACACCTGCCGAACCATTTGGATTCACCCAGGACCCAGGATCCAAACCGACCACCCCCCCTTACCCCTTAGTTCTATTTGTGTACTTGCTGACGAAGCATAGAATCATGGGTTCAACAGATAACAGGGTGAAAGGATCTATGAAACTTGCAGACCACTGGGTAACAGACCACCGGTTCACATCGCTGACAGGCTTTGCCTGCAGCTGTGTGCGCCCCCCATTCCTCGGCTTTTCTTCCGCCGGTGCGGACCTGGAACGACGGGGACGGACCTGGAACTTGGGATGTCTCATAAGCCTTGGACGGTTGTTCACCAACAGATGGCGGATGGATATGAGGTGAGAAAAATAGGGCCCAGCTGGCCGAATGCCGAACCTGAACCTAAAAATTAACAAATAAAAATTAGCTCCATGTATCAATCCAATGTCAGCCTGTCAAAGCCTTCAGCCTTAAGCCTTTTACATACTTCACAGGGTTGCAAGCTGGAGTGGTCTATGGAGGAGGATTATACTCACTGAGTGGCTTTGACACCAAAACTATCCCGTGGGCGCGCTGAGCTCTAGCGACCTCCGGGGTGAGCTGGGAGATGAGCAGTGTGAAGAGGGACATGAGCAGTATGCATTCAGTGTGGGAAGAGGACCAAGCGGATAATCTCCAACAACCATGGAAGTGGCAAACGGCCTGTTCGTAGAGGAAAACCGTTTTCCTTCCCGAAGCATGTTCCACTTCCATGTTTGGGGGAGGGTACCCCCAAGGTATCCCCAATTGTTGTTTCTTCCCTGGCATACCAAACGGAAGTCAGTTGGAAGGATGCTTTGCTAAAAGTAATCACATGAGAGCACATGGACTGGTAATAATTATTAAACTACAATCCAATATACCCAGACACTCCATGTGTGGAATAAGTGCCTAGCCTGTTTAAGGCACCGTAAAATCGGCCCGTTGCTTGGAGTCTTTGGGAGGCCCATTCGCCACGAAGCGATGGTTCTGTGGCAAGATAGTCGTACCAAGTGGTCCCCAGGGATCGTTTCCTGGATTCTCGGGAGACTAGAGGGAGGGTACTGTGGATCGACATGAATCCATACAGTGAGATGCATGAAAAGATCTCGAAGACGCAAGCCCATCAACAAGTCTATCATCATCCATCACCCCAGTTTTGCTTTCGAGTACATCTAATGAGTGTCTTTATATTCTATTGACTCGATCTAGTGAAAGGCCATCAATTCATCACCATCAGTCCCACATGATCTTTGCTGCTCGCCACTGCTTGCTTGCGCTCGCATTCCCCAGGACAGCATGGACCACTGAGCAGCTTGCGCTGCTTGAGAAGCAGGTTTGCACGGTGCCGGCTTGGAGTGAGACGGGTGCTGGTGAGACATGGAAGATGTTCAAACCAACGAAAGCAAAGGATGTGCTTGCAGGATGTGAACATACCCTAGGGCCCTATGGCTCCTGGCCCATCTCCTCAGGTGGTTGGATGGTTGGACCCCCCCAACCCCACCCAACCATCTTCGAAACGGAGGTGGGACAGGAGCCCTATAGGGTTAGAATTTGAATAGACTCACCTCGAAAAGTTGGCAGGCAAAAACCGTTGGTCGCAGCATATCAATGCGTTTGGGACACTGTTGTTAAATGTTTTTATGTATACACGTTACATGTTTGTTTAAATTGGATTCAAGCGTTGAACACCAGGGAAAGCATTTGACTGTGTATGTTTTTAGTCAGTGCTGTGGAAAATGCTTTGTTGCATCATCTCTTAGTCTTTGCCGTGGCCAAAGAAAAACATATTAGCTCACAACTCGGACGTCACGTTTCCCGGATTCCCTTTCCCTCGTTTCCCCAATGGCTGTGATGGGCGGAGCAACCGCTCCGTCTCGGCGCAAGGCTTGGCTATGCTTTTTGTTAGGTTTCTTTCGCTCGCGCGGACCTTGGAAGCGGGTCATGAAGCGTGGACCTCCGGGGAGATGGAGCGGTTTAACATGGGACGAGCGGGGTGAGCCTCCTTCTGGGGAGTTAAACATGATCATGACCCAGCTTGAAGATAGCCTGTATTTGGATCTTAAACAAAACGCACTTTATTTGCGGTCACTTTTTTTTGTTTGGAATCAAGCTTGCCGGCTTGTTGCAGTGGCTTCTCATCGGGGATTTAGACAGATTATGCTCCTGTTTGAAAGAAGTTCTCATATAGAGTTTCATGGCACTTGCCTATACTGACCTGGATACTCATGCATACAACTTGCAATCAATTGGGCAACTTGGTCTCAGAAATTGCAGTGCAAAAGTTGACTTCAGCCGCGGCTTAAGTGGTCAAGTTCTAAGCACCAAGCTTTTAGGGAAGCCTAAGAAAACAATGGGAGTTAAAGGAGGTTTTCAGGACGTCAAAGGCCGGCAGGATAGGGAGCTCATGAGCAACAGCAGAGCATTCAGGCACCATTTGCTTCAGCATTTTGCACAAAACATTTGGTGGAGCACAACTAATGACGTTTGTGATTATTTTGTTTCAAGGGTGCCCCACTGGTTTGAGAAGATCGGGACTTGTCTGATACGCGTGAACCTTTTGTGGGACTGTTGGGGGTTGGAAGTCATCAGCGTGTGTCATCGCACGGCCTTGCACTGGATGTTTGTTGTGTGTTTTCATTCCATCATGAAAACCCAGAAATCAGCACAAAACGGACTGTGAAACGCATGTTCAGGTACCAATGATGTAGCCACTGGAATCACGGCACCAAGGTATTTGAACTCAAACTTCTTCCTGGGAGATTTCATGGGCGGAGGCTCGGAGATTTCATCTGAGCAAATGCTTGGTGAAATGAACATACCTAGACCCTCCAGCAGATGTGTCCTTACTGCTGAGGGGCACCTTCACCAAGCCTGCTCCGTTCGGAAAGGCTTTACTATTACTGCTTGTGCCATCTAGCAGTCGCAGACTCTATTGTCTATGACCACAAGGTACAAGAAACAAGGTGGTGCAGATGCACCAACAAAGACATATTGCTATCAAAATCTATCAAATATTTATTACATTTTGTTTCTAATAAATGCCGTACAAACAAATTGTTATTTTTGCAAAACGTAACTCTTGGGTCATCCAGGATACATGGGGTCACCAAGGAAAGCAACTCCCAAACCTGCATCAAACCATTTTTCTCACCATTTGAGACCTCGCAGTCTAGGCAAGCTTGTAGTGATTGCCAAAATAGATCGAAACGGTTTACATTCTTGCTGGGGATCTACTTGTCTATCTATCTGGGGGTCCGAACTTAGCCAAGCTTCGTAGCCAAGCTATCTATCTATCTGGCTACCAGCGCCTCGGTATGCTTCTACTGACGATGGGGCGAGGTACCGACCTCTTTGCCGCCCTTTTGGCCATCTTCGGGATCTACAACGTTTGCTCCATGAACGGTGCCGAGACTCCCCCACCCTGCGTGGATCCGTTGGACTCTCCGTTTTGGGGGGGCTCGAGCACATCCCACCGTCACGGAACCGATGGTTCGGGTGCTGCTCGGGGGTCGAAGACCGAACCTGAGGAGATGGGACAGGTGGTTCTTTTCTCGGAGATGTGGCTGGCGCAATGTGTTTGGATGTGTTTTGTTTGGGCTGGGCGCTTGGGCGCTTGCAGAGGAGGGAAAAGGCTCGGCTCAGAAGTTGAAGGTGATTTTGGTCGACTTCTACAAAGAGTTTGAGAAGGTCCAGCAAGAACCCTTTTGCAGTCAAAAATGTTGATTGGAACGCCCACGTACTTCACCTCAGGCTCAGACGCTTATGAAAAGCAGATGACATGATAAACAATGACAACCACGCATGATTGCACTTTCTCAAGCCTTCTAAGTCATACGAAATGCTAGAAGCCTTTCTGGAAACACGACAATTCTTTCCTGCATTTCAAGCACATCCTCCAAATCTCACGGCGCCACACCGCCAAAGGGCATGGATCCTGATTTGGTGCAGCCGCTGGGCAGCCTTGATGAGCTTTCCGTTCAACAGGGCCAAAATGGCAAGACTTGTGTCTTGACTTCCCTCAAACAGCTGCTTCAAGAATGACAATATTATCTATATGTGTCATGCCATTTCAAGATGCTATGATCACCAGATCGTGAGGGTTCACCAAAAAAATAGAAAAACAACATGGGACGGACTGTCGATGAGATTATCACCGCCTCGTGACATCGATATATTCATGTACTCAACGCCTTTGGACAAGACGTGCTCCGAGCAACGGAGAGCTCCCGTTCACCGTAAACAACGCAAGCACCCATGGAGAGTGGACGACCCTGGGACGATGGAGAGTGTTACATGATCCTGGCATCACCAAGTTTAGGAGTGTCCAAAAAAGGGGAATGAGCGTTGACATTCCCATGTACCCGAAAATTCCTTACTAATTGGGCACCAGGCAGTGAATGGTCAATATACATGAGAGTATATGAGAGAGTGATTTCATACTGGAATTATATATGGAACTGAATGGAACTGATCTAGATTCCAGTGATGCCAGCAGCTTCGTCCCGTCCTTTCCAAACAGCTTCGTCACAAAAAGAGAACGACCTCTTCGGAAGCTCCACACGTACGAGGACGAGAAAACCGCCGCGCTCTCGAGCGCCCAGTGTCGCCTCCTCTCAGTTAAGCCGGAGTGGATCCAGCACCATCAGTGGAGGAGCGGAAGCCGTGGACGGCCATGGTGGAGCGGTGATGGTACGGGTGCAGGTGCAGGTGAAAGGAAGGACTCTTAGTAAAGGTGACGATGAGGATCACGAATGATGGATCTATAGCCCAGGCACCAATGGGACTGGAATATATGCCTACATTGACCCCTGAAACCAACCACACCATAATGTAGGATAATGTAGGCAACTATTCCAGTCCCATCGAGTGTTTGGGCGACCATGGACGAAAAGCTGGTTCCAGACCGGATGTGGAGTCATACTGAACAACGTTGAGCTTTGAGGGCTTCAATTGGTTGGGGCGGTCCAGCTCCCACTGATGTTGGGTAAGTCGACCCAGGAAAGTCGACCATGGCCTTTCAGAAGCTGAAAGAACGAAATCCAAACATCAACTAATTGGACATGCATGACATGTATGAAATCTGACTGCATGCCCAAACCTCCCACATCTCCTCCAGATCCATTTTCTCCAATCATCACGAGGCCCTGCCCCCCAAAGTTGTAGAGGCAATTCACTCAACAAAAGGAGGTCGTTGGCAGGTCGTCGATCATGCTGACCCCGCTTCTACCCGGAAAAAGGCTCGGCAGGATGAAACCCCGGAACAAGGCTCTCTCTGCATGTGCCTTCGAACCCTTTTCGGTTCGATGGGCCACGAGATGGGCTAGGAGGTTTAGGGAACCAACATGAACCAGCCGTGATCAACCAGCCGACACATGGTCAGACCCAGAAAAATGGGACACAAAATGACACAAACAGGGTCAGTAACAGGGTCATACATTGACCGGTCAGTATGATTCGGCTGGGGTGGGGTCATGTTCGCTGGACTCATGAGATTTTTTCAGAGATGTAAGTAAGTACATGTAAGTCATTCTTTCCTACTAGTAGTAACAAGTGCCTCGCTAGTAGTAACAGGTGCCTTACTAGCAGTAACAAGAAGCTATTAGAATTAAATTTAAAATGTATCTACTAAGATGATCCACCCAAAGGAACCTGCGTGTCAATGCCCTCGAAGTATGGCATGACTCTTTGACTGTTTGTTCCGTCATTGCGACCATTCTTCAGACCTTACTCATGATTGAAGAAACATAGAGTGTATTTCGAGTAATACAATATATATAGTATAATAGTAGATTACACATGATGGCACATTCGTCCTAAGTCACTTGCTCAACACATAAATCCCTTGTTTTCTCTACATAGATCGATATGTGCGGTGTCAGAACTGCCCAATTGCTGCAACGAAACGAACATTGACCTCCATCCTTCGTTCTTCGCCTCAGACCGACCCTTTTTCAGATCTTCAAACCTCATGATTTACCCAGTCGCTCCAAACAGCCCTTGGGTCCCTCAAAACCGGGTTTTGAGGGTCCAGACACCTCCAAACGATTCGGGTCTTGGGCACGGGATTCAGTCCGCTGTTTCGCCCCTTGTTGCTTGGCTTCACGTTTCGGTCGTTTCTCCAACTGTTGCTCTAAAGCTGCAAAATGGGTTATATATTTATACTACAGTATATATATTTGTGTGTTAGTATTAAGGGCAAGGGTTTGGTTAATAACAATAACGACACATATCCCATGCCGACACGCAGGCCGACACGCGGGCCGACACGCCGCCTCGGTGCCCTCCTTGCGCCTGGACGATTTGGGCCGCGGACCTGCGCGGCCAAGCAAGTGGACCACGACGGAACACTGGGATTTGCTAACATTTTTGTGTTTTGTGATTGTGTTTTTGGTTGTTTTCCGGATTATTTGTGTTGTGTTGTTTGGTGAAGATGTTTATATATTGTGTGGTTGTGTTTTTAGTTGTCTTCCTGAAATTCTAATGTGTTTTTGGCATAATTGATATATGTTGTTTGTTTTGTTTTTTACATTACCTAGACCTTCCATTGACATACAAAATTCTGGTCGATGTGGTCGGTATGCTTTTTTGTGGTCGACCCTCCCAAAACTGGTCGTTTGGCACCACAGAATCCAAAATTGATCGCTTTCCAAAAAAAGTGGTCGAGAGATGTTGTGGGTATGGGCTGGGGTCGCACTCGGCACGCTGATGTGCACCACACATCCTGAAGCAGAACTGGCAGCGCCGCCGGGAACCTCAGCTGCCTTTTTCACTTGCCCCGTGAGTTCTTCGAGAATTGGACCTTGTAGAGTCCAAGACCTTTCTCAATGCAACGCAAACTAGCTTGCTTTGGATGGCATGACCGTCCAAGACGCGAAATGCGCCCGATGTAATCTTCGTCTTGCCAGCACGAGAAGTCTCAGTTGATCATCGGTTGCAAAAAAATGACAAATTACATCACGACCAGAATTTTGTATGTCAATGGAAGGTCTAGGATGTTAAGATCTAATCTACACGCACCCAAAGCAAAATGTTGCTGAAGCATAGGCAAAGCTCTCAAAGCCGACAGCGAAGCCGATCCCAGGCTCATAATCAAAACCAGGTGCTGGTGAAAATGGATCTTCGGGCGAAGACGAAATAGTTTCATACCAGCTTGGGAACTCTTCAAAGCTAGGTAACCATAGGCTTCCTTAGTAGTGGGATGTCTTGGGGTGTCATCATACATCTTGTAAGCCCTGTTGGAGCTAGCCTTCATGATGCCAACATAGGGAGGCACGTCATCCTATACCCTATGCACAGATTTGCTGTTGATCCCTTAAAATATCAATTGAGACTTGTCAAACAATCATTGACCAGAATCAACAGATGTACAGGTTGGGGGCTTGGTGCAAAACCAAAAGTCACACATTCGCTGACCAGCAGTCAGAACAACTGACCTGGAAGGTTCTTCCACAAATACTCCATGCGCCCGCAATGTTCTGAAGAACAGGTTTGATGAAGTCACTGCCAGCTTGAGACCTTGTAGCAAATTATCCGAAGCCACATCCTTATTTTGCACAGAGACGCTGCTGAAACCTATATAGTGTTTTTTCACAAGTACACATGATTCTTACCAAGTGTCGCGATCTACTAGGACGTCCTCAAGCCATTCAACGACCACCGCAGTGTCATAGGCTTTGGAATTGCAAGAACCCAGGCTTTCAGGAAAGTCATTAATCCTGATCAAGGTTTGTGGGGCAGATCCTGTGGGACCTTCAAAAAACAAGCACGCAGTGACTTCATGGAAAGCTTGCAACTTAAAACAAGGGTCGTAGCCATGTTTAGCTTCTTGATTGACCACCAATCGATGCCAGTCTTCTTGTGGACTCTGGAAAGCCATCCACAGAATTCTTCATAAGCCCTACTGAGCTGCGCATCAAGGGTGGAACCATCAAAGAACTGTTTCTTGCAAAGAAGGACCACCCCAGAGGCAGCAAGGTCAATGCCCCACCCCAAGTGGAAGCAGTGGCAAGAATCTGGCAAAATCATCTCACTTGTCATTCCCGGAACCCTCAACAAAGGAATTCTGCTTTTGTCTATTTTGAAAGGTGTTTTGGGTCTTTGCCCCCAGCATGTGGATCGCCACGATGCATCCACCCCCATATGGTGCCAGTCGCTTCCACAGCACAAGTGACACTTGCTCAGGCAATTGAACCCGCAATTCAATTTAAAGGCCTGGGATCCGGAGCGGCAGTGGGAAACTTTTTGCATGCGCATAGCAAAAAGGTTGGGAGGTAGAGAAAGGAACAACAAAACATACAATTGTTGATTACATGCAAGTATCTTTCCTCAAATAGGGCCAATCACCCTTGGTCCCCACGTTGATTAGGCGGATGAAAACCCCTGGCATTGCCTTGGCCCAAATA